TTGTTCATTATTAAAAGCTTAATTAGTTATGCCAACGTCATAATCAACTTAATTAATTTAATAATAATTTATATTTTTTTTAAAATTGTAGTCATAAAAGTAAGGTTGGTGAAACGAGAGAAACAATTGTTTCTCATATCAAAAAAGTTTGTTTAATTAATTCGTTAAGAAGAATCTAATGGAGAACAAGTACTAATTAGGAAGGAAATTTATTGAGAAAGAATATTTTTTATACAATTTTTTCATTTAATCTTATAAGAAAAGGAAAAATCAAAACGTCCAATAATAATCATATGATAAATTTAATAAAATTAAGACTCATACTATATATTTTATACATTTAATGATTATGATTAGGTGTTTTAACATCTTTAATATCAAGATATCCTAATTTTTCCTTTTCTCTAATACTATTAGGTTATTTGGTTTGGAAGGAATCATGAGAGATTGGAGACGAAATCACCTTATTTTGACTAATAAAATTAACAACTTAGGCCAACAAAATAAATTTTTTTTTATGTCATATGATGAGATATAAAATGAGAAATAGTCTTTTTTTTTTTTTTATCAATTTCAAGATTTAAATTGAATATCTCTAATTTAAAATATTAAATTTTTAATTATTTAAAATACCCTCTAAAAACATGTTAACAAAACAATTTAATTAATTATAATAATTTTTTCCTTGTTCATTTCTTCTAACTAAATAAGTTTTATATATTATTCAATGAAATGATTCAACAGTTAAAAATTTAAAATTTAAAATTGAAAATTTTTAATTCAAGTTTTAAATCAAGTGAAGAGGGATTTAAAAATAAAATAAAATTATTTTTTCTTATATATTCTATAATCAAATACACAAAAAAATAATTAACTACTTTAAATTTTATATGATTGACAGACGGCTAGTGGTAATTTCAAACTGGCAGCAGATAATAATACAAGAGAAGTAGTTGAAGAGGGCGGGTGAAAGAAACCCAATCAAGGCGAGACCCAATAATCAATAATGTATATTAATCTGATCTCACCTATACGATTACCTACAAATTAAAGTAATCAAACTATTGTCAGGAGTTGGTTTGGTGGCCTGTGGCATCCCATTCAAATCTTTCATTTTATTTATGATGAGTTTTTTTTTTTTTTTTTAGTCAATTGCAGATATTGATTAGAATTGACTAATTTTATTAATTTATAATTTTTATATAAAATTTATTAAAATATAAAACTAATGTTTGTCAATCACATTTAAAAATTTTTTGAGAGAAAAACACTGTAAAAATATATTGTTTTAATAAAATATTATAAAAAATTAAAATAAACTCATTTAAATTTAAAAATAAATTATTTTAATATTTTAAATAAAATTTTATTAAAACAATGTAATTTTAAGATTTTTTTCTTTTTTTTAAGGCACAACTAACAAAGATTTTTTTTCTAAACTATTTAAAAATATTAATTTAGAAAAGTTGATTTTAAATTAAAAATATTATAATTATAAAATCATGTAATATTATAATTATAAAATCATGTAATATTATAAATTTATAATTGTAAGGTGTTATGATTTT